ATCCCATATGCGGAACGGGCGAGAAGGGCGATGGTGGCAAGAGATAGTACAGAACGCATGATGGACGGCAGAAAGAAGGAATTACCGTGGAGTGTAAGATATGGGAGGTTTGGATGCAGACCAGAGGGCTTGCCACCATAGCTCTATATACCAGCCCGGGACGCTCATATTCTCCGTTGACATGGAACCCAGCTATCCCAGTCGCTACCTTGCCATTGCCACAGTAGTATTGATCGTCAAGACCAGAAGTCCGAGACGCGTAGCGGAGCGGTGCCGCGTTATGAGCTCCTGCAGTTTTAGGCGTGCACTGCCTAATTCTGTCGAGTCATTTTCCCCGCCTAGAAGGCACGTGCTTAGATCGGCTCCAGTAAAGCTGTACAGCAGGGAAGAGGTCAGCAAAGCATATCGAGTGAATTGTAACACAAAATCACACAGCTCAAGGTCATGGCAACGGAGGAGATGCCCCCATGGAGACTACATCCCCGTGCCTTTTCGGCGAACCGCGGCCGTCCCTTAACCCGCCGAGTGGCTGTGCAAAAGACGGGGTCGGCACCGCGGCCGAACTTTGTACGCTGAAAAATCAGCGAGTTCGACGTCGACCACCATGTCTATGCTAACACGAGTGTTTACAGTGACGGCGCCTGCAATACGGCCGTTGCATGTATTGGGAAAGGGTGAAAATGTATATGTAAGTATGACCTTGTTTCATTCCTCATGTTAGACATCCAGAACGGCATAGTTAGAGTACAACGGACACTCTCAGATTGACCGAGGAACCTTCGAAAGCGCAGTGGACAAACAGGATCTAACATACGGCGCACAGTATCAATACACATCGAGTGCAAGAGGGACGTTGCATGTAGCCTTCTCACCTTCCCTGCCCTCGTAACCGGCCCAGCTGCGCTTCCACACCAGCTGCAAAGATGCACCATCCACAAGCCGGTCCCACTGAGCGCCTCTCCCGCGCCTCATCAGGTCCACTCGACTCCCCAAGTCCCTCAGTCCCAACTCCCCCGCTCTTCCCCTCCCCACCCGTCCTTCCTGCCCCACCGAGCCTCCTCCTTCAACCTCTGCAGTTCCTCCCAACTCGGGTCCCCAACCTGCCACACCCTACCCTCCGAGCGCGTATAATGTTCCTCCTACACAACCCTGTCAGCTCTCCTCTTTCCCAAGAACCAGAAAAAGACAGTAAAGAACAAGACGGACATTAACGACCGCCAACCTCAGTTCCGGACCCGCTTCCTCCAACAGCGTCAGAACATCCCATTCCTCCCCTTCCTCCACCACACTCCGGAGTACGAGCCCCCTGAGCGCTCTACACTCCCTCAACACCCCTCTCACCCCTCTCCCTCCCACGCCCGCCCCGCCTAAGCCTAGGACCCGGAGTCCCCGCTGCCGCTCGGCAAACCGCTCCATCTCCTCCCCCTGTACGGACTCGGCGTCTACGCCAGGAGCGTCAAGGTATAGGGATTCGAGCGGCGCTGGGAGGGAGAGGGAGGAGAGGTAGGTGAACCAGAGGCTTGAAGTGCCTGGTTGGGGGAGATGCAGGTAGATATGCTTCAGTTTCGAGAGCGGGGGAGCGGTGCCGATCTCGATCTGCCTTACTCAGTTCCTGGTAGCATAAGCTGGGAGGGACTCACCCAGGAAGAGAGGTACTCCCATTCCCCTTTTTCCCTTCCCCTGCCCAGGCCGGGGGCGTACACGAGCGGACAAGTCGGCCTGCTGAGCTGAATTTCCCTCAGTTCCCTGAGCTGGGGCAAGACGCGCAGTACGCTGTCCGTACAGCGGACCGTACATTCCCAGGCGAACGTCTGGAGGCTTGTACATAGTTCCAGAGTGCGGGAGAGGAGGGAGAGGAGGAAGGTTGCCCCGGGGCCGGAGAGCGCGGGGAGCTGGATGAGGAAAGAGCGGACGTGGGATGCTAGTTCCGGGTGGGAGGAGAGCGTCTGGAGTGGGAGGAGAGGGGTCAGAGGGGCTTTGGTTAGCTGGGAAAGGAGTAGGTAGCCTGAGCTGGTACGGGTTACACAGGCTGGAAAGCGGGCTGCGACCTGTGAGCGTTTAGCGGAGGCTGTCGAGCAGCAGAGAGGGCTGTACTTTTGATATCCAGGATGCGTCTAGCAGGATCTGCTCATACAGCAGTTTGGTAGCTACCCGGGACATGTACGCGTCTACTCGTGCCCAGGCGCAGAGATCCCCTCGAGCAAGGGCGAGCGGAGGGAGAAGGGCGAGGATATCGTACGGGAGTCGCATCCCGGGATGTGGACTTGTTGAGATCAGGTTGGAGGACAATATGATGCCTAGCGTGGTAGAGAGACGTGCGGTTGGACAACTTCCTGCCTAGCTAGCAGAGGCAAGCGACAGTCAAGCAGATGGCCGTCCAAGCCAGATGTCCAACTTCCAACTTACAGTGCCCAGTAACGTATGAATAGCAGCCAGTGATGGAGTATAATACACAACTTGTCGCGGTCACCCACCCCTTCACGATGCCTTCCCCAAATATAGTAGCTTCAGGGATCCTATATCGTATCTTTCTCATCATGATCGCCATCTGATTCTCCACCCTGTCGGTTGCTGATCATCCGGGGCGGGCGAGGGGGGGCGAGGCAACAGGAGAGGGGAGACGAGGAGAAAGCGAACAGAACCACCGAAGCCTGTATAAAAGAGTAATATCGGCGACCGAGCAGCGCCGGTCTGCTGAACCTTTCTCCCGGATGACATCCGCTCGGCCGGTTCAAGGTTCCGGTGAGTGTGTTCCAGTCGGCATCGGCACTTCCGGTGAGGCGATGCACCGGCGGGAGCCTGTGGCCGAAGTCGGCAGTGGCGGCACCGGTGAACGAACCACAGCGTTTATTATGTTTCTGTAATAAGGGATGTTAAGTGGGGTGCCGCTATTAGGTCTATCTATGTCTACAGTGTTGTCTATACAATCTTCTAATCTACAGTCTTCGGTTCTACAAGGTTCGCACTGCCCATCCAACCCAGAGTCCATCCTGATCCGCCTGATCCGTCTGACGAATTTACCGCACCCGCACGTCCTCAGAACCTCCCCCCACCTAGAGGCCATCTTCCCCCCTTCTGGGGCCACCTTCCCTGTCCAACCCCCGACCCTCCTACCAACCCCCCGCAAGCATCTACCACCCTCACCCCTCTTTCCTCACACAGAGAAAGAATCTTGTTGACAAGCTTCGTCTGGTGGGTTCTATACGGGTCTGGCTGGCCCGACGTAGCAGAAGGTGGAGAGGAGGAGGAAAGGGGGAGCATGTCGGCCAGTCTCAGCGTGTTCAGCTTCGGGAAAGCCCGGCACTCCCCCTCTCCCAAGAAGGCCCTCACAAGCCCGACCACATCCCGCCAATGGTCGCTCACCCCTAGCACGTTCTCCCTCTCCAACCACAACACGTTCCCCAACGCGACCTCTTCCAGCTTTCCCAATTCCCAGCAGGGGGCCGACTCCCGTGTATGCTCACATGCTGGCAGGGCGAGCTTCTCCAGTTTAGGACAGTGGGAGACGAGCCGACAGAGATGACCATGTGTATGCGCTTCTGCGAGGACGAACTGGAGTTCCCGGAGTTTGGACCCATGGAGGGTAAAGAACTGCTCGACCACGCGGGTGGAAAAACAGTGTGTGAGTGCGCTGGGCATCCGGTATGGTGTCTCTGTCGTTGACAGGAGTAGGGAGCGCAGAGAGGGGAGGGAGTTGGGAGGAAGGTGGTTGAGCGCGAAATCGGAGGTGTGGGTCAGGACGGGGAGGTCGATCCGCAGGTGGGTTATGTGTGTCCCGAATTGGGTTGAAAGGAAGAAGAAGGGCTCGAGGAATGGTTGGAGGGAGGAGGGGGTGGGGGGGAGCTTGTCTGCTCCTAGGGAGAGCTGGGTGAGTGGGAGTCGCGCGAGGAGAGGAAGGGCTTGTGCAGGCACGCCGCGTTTCGGGAAACTGATGCTTGTCACTTGCATACTGGAGAGGGTGTCAAGTAGGGGAAGGGGGATATCGAAAGCCAAGTTGTTGTTAAGCTGGTTGAGGTGGAGCTGTTCCAACCCCCTCAGGCGAGCGAGAAACGGTTGCAACAGGATATCCGGAAAGCAGGGATCGTAGTGCACGTCCACTCTGCTTATCTTGAGGTGCTCGACAGGCGGTCCAGAGCGCAGGAACGCGCGTAGCTGTTCCGCGCTCTTAAAGAGAAGCCATTGGTCTTTCTCTCGCCTCAGCTCGGCCGCCCAAGCCCTGCACACCAGCATACACCTCCGCATGAGCTCCTGCCAAGCAGCATAATGCAGCTGCACGAAGATGCTCTCAGCTTGGAATGTCGTCTTCAGGGCTTGGTGTGGCAGGCAAGGAGGGAGGAAATGATCGTCGTACCCCAAGTTCGGGATATGCCAGGGCGATAAGTGCGGGATGTGGGAGATGATAAGCAGCCATAGTTCGTCCGGTATCTTGTATATCGCTGAGGGAGGAGAGGAGCCAGTGTAGAGAGGGGCGAGCATGGTGGTGGAATGAAGTGAAGGAAGGTGGATGAGACTGAGCGCATCCCTGGGCAACGTAGTTGTCCCAGGCTTTGGGCAGGGGGAAATTCCCCTTTTACTTCCGCCCAAATTTCCTCTTCTGGAAATTGTCAAACCTTTTACCCAGCTGATTTGTATGGTCTTGTCCAGCCTCCTCTTTCCCCCCATGTGAGGCTGGCTCTTAACCTATCTTTTCCAGCCCCACTGTACATGGCTGGTTCCAACATTTTGCCTGTCTTTCCCAGCCTCTCCTTATTGAATATGCATCTATTGGTTTCTTCTCCTTGCAACCTGCCATCTCTGCCTTTTTAAGCATTCCTCCATTTTCACATATGCTCTCCCTGCACACAGCTTTACAGACGAAGAATGGAAGCTCACCTTGGCCATACAGGGGTTATAACATTCATAAACAGCAATGTCCTCCCCTTGACTGATCTCAGCTTGTCTTACTGATTCATTGCACTATGTCACACCCACCCTCTTGGCCCTGCCCTGGGTGATCTATACATGTTCTCTCCTGTGTCTGAAATGATTGTCTTGTATGAGTACTTTTCTCACACAGATCTGTTGTCTACAGTGTGGACAGTTTCATTTCAAGTTGCTCCACACTTGCCCCAGCACAAAGTCATTTCAGCTCTGCTGAAGTATGCTGGGCTGTTGCAGAATACCACACTACCCCTTGTATGGATTTTTGCATTTCAGGCTCCCTGTGTTTTTCTGCATGGTCACCTGCTGTCATTTGAATGTGCTTGGAAGAGAGCTCATTTGCCTTGCACAGAACACTCCTCGAAGCAGCATCATGTGGAACCACCAGACATGGAAGAAGCTTTTCCACTGAAAGATGATCCCACTTTGGTATGGAAGATCATTAACGATTTTGTCAAAACTGTGACTGTCGCAGCCCTGTGCAGGGGTGTGTGTGGTTGCTGTGCTGAATCTGTCCTGCTTTCCCAACTGGATACTGTCCCTGTTTCTGATGTGGATTTCATGCTGTTGACAAACAACTACATACCATACTGCCTTTGCCCTCTTGGGTACTCTTTTCATCAATGCCACCATGCTTTTCTTCACCCTGAAGGGTTAACATGCCTGTACAAGTTTGCTGGTAAAATTTGACTCTGTTGTCTATGCATCAGATCCCTGTGCAGGGGCAAAATGCCCATCTTGGCTCTTGCAAATGGCTTTCATTACATATACGAACATGTCCCTGCACATGTGCATGAAGCATTTCATACCTGCACTTTTATCAACAAACACCTTGTTTCTTGTTGTACAGCAACAAAGATTTGTTATCAATACCTCAATAATCCAGAGAGTTGACTCCACAGGAATCACTTCAATGGCATGCAATGATATTCCAAGGGGAACATTCTTATATTTCCTCAGGATACCATCACCCTGAACAATGTACTTCCACCTCCAATAGATGATGTCAAGCAGAGTTTTGTCACTGTGTTTGCAGATGCAGACTTGCCTACTCCAGATGTTCTGCGCAGGGTTGAGCCTTTGAAAGCATTGGCTGATAATGTTTGCACAATCCTGGGTTTCTTATTTGAGTACAACAAGGCATACACATGCACAACAGTTGATTTCCCAACCAGGGGTGCTGTTTGATCAGAAGAGAATTTTTGGTCACTATTCCCTTGTGCAGGAGATGTTGGCACTGTATTTCCTTGCATTGAAGTCGAGCATGTATGGTTCAAAGATGTGCAAGCTTCCACAGAGTCTGACATAACATCCTGGAACATTTTTGATGCTTGCAATATTCAATCTGGCAAATTCTTCATCAAGGCTTCTGGCTATTCTACATCATCCTCCAACACTTCCTCATACAATGCAATGAAGGCTGATGGACTTGCACATTGCCTCTCTGATGGGGGCCATTTTGTGAGGTCCCAGAAGGGAAACAAAGCCATACATGATTTTTGGAATGAATATACCCTCACCTGGATGTTCCCCCACCTGGACCCCTTTGTGCTCAGCAGGTTCAATGATCCCCATCAGCATAAACCTGTTTCAATGGCAAAGCAGCTTGCCCATCTCCTGCGCATGGCAAATGGCCATTTTGAAGCAGAGCCAACATTTGCATTTGTGTTTCACAATATATTGCAGAAGTGCCAGGCGGCTTGGCTTGTGAGGTTCTGTATTCCGGAGAAGAAACATGCTTGCATCATTGAGGAGATTCAACAAATCCCTGTGCACATTTGGCTGACAAGCTTTGGAAATCACAATGGGCAAAACCATCATCTGCTGAAGAGGATATGGCTTTAAGAGTCCTGCACAAGGTCAACATGCTCAGGCGTGATGTGCCTGGCAGCAATGCATACAAGCAGTGCCATAGAAATGAGATCTGATCTCTTGTTTATTGACTCAGGCATCCTGCTTTTTTATCACTCTCACCCCATGTGATGTGGATGGGTATCTCTGCCATGTTAACATTGCTGGGTCTCAATGTGCAGACACCCTTGTGCAGGGCATGACAAAGGCAACTTGATTCCAATGTGTGATGTCAGTGGCCGCACATCCTGGTATCACTGCATCTGAATTTCATTGGTGCATGGAAAGATTTTGCAATGTAATCTTGCAGATTTGTAAAGGGCCCAGTTTGTTTGGCACTTGCACAGGGTGGTATGGCATGGTGGAAGCCCAGGGAAGAGGAACCCTCCACTGCCATATTCTTGTATGGTTGAAAGGCAATCCTTCACCTGACGCCTTGCACAAGGGGATGCAGGACAACCCTGTGTTTTGAGCAAACATGATCTTGTGGTTGGAGTGTCTTATTAAGACAGAGCTTCCTGGTCAAGAAGAGGTCTTCATGGAAATGAATGGGGCACTTCCCACACCAAAGCTGAGCAAAGATGATATTGACCCTCACTCTGTCCCCTCCCTTCCCCTGCACACAGTGGATCCATGCTCAGATCCTCTGTTCCTGTGTCAGGTGAAAAATCTGGTGGAATGGAACAACTGGCATGAGCATCAAGCGACCTGTTGGATACACCTGCACAAGGGTGAGGATAAAATTGATTTGAATTGTTGCATGTGAATGGATGGCTTGACACAAGCAGTGTCCTCAGTAGATGAAGAAACAGGTTCTATATTGTTACACCAACTACACCCAAGAATCAATGAGTACAATGACATTATGATGTATCTCTATCAATGTAACATGGACATTCAATACCTTGCATCAGGTGAAGTGTCCACAGTCACACTATATTACATCACAGACTACATGACAAAGGCATCACTGAAAGTGCATGCTGGCATGACAGCAATGCTGTGTGCCATCCAGAAGAATTGAGACAAGTTCCGCAATGACAAAGGGGCTCCCAGCACAGTGCAATCAAAGAGTCTGGTTGTCAAGCTTGTGAACCAAATTGGTGCTTCTCAAGAAACATCCCATCAACAACTCATGAGCTTCTATGTTGGAGGAGGGGACTGTTACAGATTGCATGATTTTTCCTTGCTTCACTGGGTGTACATCTCCCATCAACTCAAGGAACTTGAGTCCCCTGCACAGGCCCCCAAAACTGTGGATGACAACCAATCAGACATGTCACTGGAATCCGATGATGAAGACAAAGAAGGCCCTGTGCTAGGCAACTCATCTTCATATGCAGCAGCAAAATTAGACATCCATCATGGCTGTGTGTCCTCTGCTACAGCATTTAATGACTATGCAAAGCAACCTATTGAAGAACCATTCAACAGCTACTGTTTATATGACTATGTAACCTTCTGCTGCAAGGAGGCATTTGTACATTCCACCTGTGCACATCTGATTTCAGACCACGTGGAGCCAAACTGTCAGGGCACCAGCTCATTGCTTGGTCAAGAGACATGACTAAGCATTTATGATATGGAAGTAGCTGGTATACCTTGGCA